ACATTTGACACTTAAAGTCTTTATCAGAATTATTTCCTTTTTCACTTATAAGATCGTGCTTAGTAAAACATTTATAGACTAAGTTCATCCCATTCACACCATTAGAATATAATTTCATACCTCATGTTCTTCAAGCTAATATCATATGTTATCACAACCATAACTACTCATATACATATTTCATATAAACATATCGCAGTCAATCAATCCAGACCATCAAACATACATAACATATTTCAAACATATACTTTCAAAAAAATTTGTATATAATAGTGCTCCCTAATGAGCACAAAATAAACATTTTAATATAATGATAAAACAAAGTTCTCTTTACCTCAACTTGAGTTTGTGGAGAGATATTGATGAAGATTTGAGTTCAACTATGGAAGTTCTCTTGAGTATCAAAAGATATCTATGAGGAATGAGAAATATGAGGAATGAAAGGAGAAAATGAAGTTTAATCAAGAGAAACTTACTTGGAGTCATTTGAATTCAACGTCCAAGCTCGAATTTGAAGAATAATCAAAGTTTGAGTGAGTTTTATCTGAGTAAAGGAAGTGAGAGTTCAGAGAGATAGAATGAGAAGGGAACGTGAGGTCTAAAATGAAATAATTTTTTTATGCTGAAAATCTCTTAAATACCCCTCAGTCCCATGCGCTCTCGCTTAAGCGCGGAACAGTTTGTTTGAGCGACGGACTTCTCGTCTGGGCGAGCTCTATCTCGCCTGAGCGAGATGATATCCAGAGAATAAGACATTTTTCTTGTGAGTCTTCGCCTGAAGGACTCATCTTGCTTAAGCGAGATCTTAGCTCGCCTGAGCGAGATCACCCTCGCTTAGGCGAGGTGACAGTTGAGCTGGATTTATCCTATCTCACTTGAGCAAGAATCATCTCGCATGAGCGAGATTGTCTTGAAACCTTGTATTTTGGGCGCTTAGTCTCACTTGAGCAAGATTTGTCTCGCTTGAGCGAGACTCCCTACACCAGACTTCTTCGAAAAACTCCCATAATTCACTTCTAACACATTATAATCCTACTTAATATCAAACAAAGCATCATTTATTGAATAATGAAATAGAAGGTGTTATAGGAAGTAGGTGCCTTACCTGTCACACTTGCTTACTTACCACCGTATGATCAACATATCATACACATGCAAACACAGACAATTGCAAGGGTGAGTTTATACATAAAATAGTCATAATCATAATATTAATACAATTATCATATACTTACCTACACAACTTATTATATTAGCGATCTTCAGCAAGTCAATACGACAATTCAGCCCATTTAATGCAAATGCAATATTTCAGTTCCAACTAATTTCACAGCTTAAGTAATTCAGAAGGAACTATTTCTAGTTTGGGAGTGACTCATCCCAGTATCTAAATCTAGACACAGCACAACTCAACATTTTCTATCGTTACATGTCTAACCACCTAAACATGTAACTTGGCTCTAGAATGATAAAAATTAGCATAATGCAACACAACATTATATATATATATATACACACACACACACACACACACACTTAGTCTCAATAATACAGTCATATATTTTTGTTTAGTCTCAGCAACACAACTTTCTGTATTTACTCAGCCAGCATCAACACTTCAAATTTTTACCACAGCTATAACCGACGTAAAATATCAACACTTATCTATTTATTTCAACATTTAAGGTTCACAGTATGTGCCAAGTATTCATAATGTTTATTAAACATGTTCACATACATGTATTAACATAGCCATTTAACTTTCACAATTAGCCACTTAGACATTTGGTATTCTACCTTAGGGTTTGTTCATAACTCAATTTATTCTCAGTTAAACGACATTAGACATATAAATATCTCAGCATATGATAAGTGAATAAAGCCAGCTCAGGTAAGTCCCCTTTACCAGGAACTAGGTTCCTTAGATCGGACTCCACGTGAGTCCCAAGTAAATAAACAACACGTGAGGGCTTAGATCTTCTTACCATTAGGAAATAGAAACTTTATAGAAGAGAAGCCCAAGAAATAAGAAGTAGAGTTGGAGAACGAGATCCCAGGAACTCACCTAGATCCGCACTAAATAGAGGTTCTCACTTGCATCGAGAAGAAGTTCGGCCTTAAGAAGGTTTTCTCTAAGGGAAGAAGGTAAGAGAACAGAGAAAAAAATGAGAGGGGAAGGTTGTCTGGTGAGAAATGAATGTTTCTCTATGCTGTGGTTTCTTAAATACTCCTTTAGGTTCGCACATTCTTGCTTGAACAAGCCAACTCTCGCTTGAGTGAGCCTTGCTCTCACTTGGACAAGCTATATCTTGCCTGAGTAAGCAACACTCTCACTTGAGCGAGATTAGGCGGTCTAAAAAGCTACTTCTTTTTTCTGTGAGCGAGCTTCTCATTTCTCAGCGAGCAACACTCTCGCCTGGGTAAGGGGATAGTTGGAGTGGTCTTATCTGACCTCGCTTGAGCAAGAATGCTCCAGAATGCCCAATTCAACATGATTCAGTGTCACTTGAGTGACAACTACCTCGCCTGAGTGAGACACCCTGTCTCAAAATGAGGTAATACAAGTTTTGCTATAATTCTTAGATTCTCATTCACATATCACACATAATGATTGATCTCAAAGCCTCACAACTAATTATATCAAACATATCAACCTCTTATTCAGCAACTATGTAGCTCACACATACATAATCCAAGTCATTTCATACCGTTATTAACATACATCATCACATTCAAAATGCAACGACATCATGGTTAAATTATTACATCATCATCTTTAAAGGAAATATGTATCCATAAATACATGCCTACAGATGCAAAATTTTTTTTATATATTTTTAAATTTTCACTACATATGAAGGAAAATGGTAAAATAATATTTTTAAAAATTAAACTCTTTTCATATTTTTGAAACAATTTAAACATATTTTTCCAGAAAATAACTAAATCAAATATACCCTTAATTTTATTTTACTTTTTTGTGAGGAGAATATATGTAAATATTGGAATAAGGATACATGTTCCTTTTATTTGAGAACACCACACAAGAAAAATGAAATGTGAATATTAAGTAAGAAAAAATAAATAAATAAAAACTCAATTTTAAAGTTCAAACAAAATTTTCATTGAAAAGTCAACACAAATTTTAGTAAAAAAAAATATGAAAACTACATTTTTCTTAACTTTAGACAAAAGTTTATCTCTTATATATAACAAAACATGCTTAGAGTTTCTTATTAGAACATACGAAATAAAGTAAATTGTGTTAAACAAAAATTATTTATAAAATACATTTATAATAAAATTTAATATAATATATTAACTTAATATAAAAGTTATATTGTTTTAAAATAAAATAAAATATTATTTTTTACATTTCAAACATAATATTTATATAAAATTATCTATATGTTTAGGAGTTAAACACTGTACCAAACACAAGATTAACATAGTTACTAGACAACAACTTGTCTTAAAGATTGTTCACTCCCAATTATAACTATTATAGATTTTTCACCTTTTCTAAATTTTGGACAACTAATCAAGAATTATTAATATTAAATAGAAATTTTAAACAATTAATTAAAAGCATAAAAAAATTTATAATTTTTTAAATTATAATATTTTTTTTTAATTTGTATAACATTACACATAATTTAAAATTTGTATATAATTTTTTTTAAAAGATTACAAAATTTAATACAGTTTAATATATTGATGTTATTAATATTATAATTTTTAAGTAAAATTAATGTTTTCATCTTCTAATTTAAATGTCAATTTTAATTTTGTCTTTTAATTTTATTTTAATTTATTTCGATCATTTATCTTTTTAAAAACTTTCAAACAAGTCATCTCTGTTTAAAGTGTTAACTCTATTAATATTTTTTTTGTATTTTTTTTTTATTGTTTATTGTCTTTTTCCTCAAGTTAGGTATAATGTTTATCTTTTTTTTCTTAATGTTTCAAAACAAACACTCTATATGTGTTTCACCAACCTTTTTTCTTTGTGTTCATGTTGAAGCCTTTTGCAAATAATTTTTTTTAATGTTTCTAAACAAAAAATTCACAAGTGAGTTTTTTTTACTTTTAACTCCTCAATAAGTATACATTTAACATAGCTAAAGTCCATTATCAACTGATTTAATATAAATTTGTCTAACTAGTGGTGTTTATAGTGACAAAAAAAAAATAAATTTAAATACTTGATAGTAATCTCAAACGTCAGTGAAATTTGTACAACAAAAAGAGAAAAATGTGAGAAAAAAAAATTAAAATCTTGAAAAAGATGAGGAATAATGTATGGAAACTTGAAGAAGAAGATGATAAAAAATACACGAAACGCGACAAAAAATGGAGTTATTATTTTTAATAAAGAAAATTTATTAATTTTTTAAAGTTAATAAAGTAAAATAAAGTTAGAAGACAAAATTGAATTCAACCTTTTAAGTTATAGAAAAAATATTAATTTTGTTTAATGTTTAATAAAATATATTATATATAAATTTTTATTATATATAATGATGATTAGGTTAAATACGTTATAATGATAATAATAAATATTTTATAATATTAAATAAAATTAAATATAAAAATAAATTATCAATAAAACTACATTATGAAAATTTAGAATTTAAATTAATATTAAATTAAAAAAATATTTGATGTAAAAAATTGACACAAATAAAAAAAGTAAAATAATTTTAAAATTTTTGTTATTTAATTAAATTAAAAAATAGTTTCATTTGAAAATTTATAGTCACACATTCGATACACATTGATAAATTTATATCAAAATATTTTTAATAATAATAGCTATATAGTAACATCTTAAATATAGGAATAAAATAATGACATTTATAAACAAATTTTTTTCCTTGTGAAGGAAAGCAATTTAAGTAAAGTTACCATTTTACCCTTGGGTTGGGTTTGGCGAGTGACATGTGAAGTGACATTGACCCGTGTTTATATCTCTATCTGCATTGCCATTGCATTGACGAGGTGGTCAGAGTAATCGAGAATTGGAAATGGTGAATCGACGCTTCACTCAGGTGGCCACCAGCGACGATGAGGACGAAGCACCGCCTCAGCCGCGCACGCGAAAGAGGATGAAGCTTCTCGAAGAAGATAACGACAACGACAACGATAACGGTGACGAGACGAGGAAGGAAGGAGCGAAACCGGAACCGCCTCAGGTTCCAGATGACGCTAAACCCATTGGCGATCCCGTTAGGGTTTCGGGAAAAGGAAGAGGCAGAAAGAAGCACTTCGAATTCTTCGAGTTCGATGGCAATCAATATACTCTCGTGAGTTCTCTTTTCTCAACTCTTCGAAATTTGGGGATTTTAAGAACTCAAACTTGTTCACATTTTGCAGGAGGACCCTGTTCTTCTCGTTCCTGAGGATACATGTCAAAAGCCATATGTCGCAATTATTAAGGTACTCTATTCTATTCTATTTTCCCTTGTCAATTGCTATTGATTGTGTTGTAATTCGTGTTAGAGAATCAATCAATTCAATTGATTTATGATCGATAGACCTTTTTTTTATGCTGCATTGATGTTATTAAGGGTTTTTTTGCTTCCCCTTTTTCATGCAAGGGACTTGGTTATATTTTATGTTGTTCTGTTGTCAGGATATTACGCAGTCGAATAACAGCAGCTTAATGTTGACGGGGCAGTGGTTCTATCGCCCTGAAGAAGCTGAGAAAAAAGGTGGTGGAAACTGGCAATCGCGTGATACGAGGGAACTGTTTTATAGTTTCCACCGTGATGAGATTCCTGCTGAGTCTATTATGCACAAGTGTGTGGTGCATTTTGTTCCCATACACAAACAGCTTCCAGATCGTAAGCAGCATCCTGGGTTTATAGTACAGAAGGTGTATGACACTGTGGAAAGAAAGCTCTGGAGGCTAACCGATAAGGACTATGAGGATATTAAGCAGCGAGAAATTGATGAGCTTGTTCAGAAGACTCTGCAACGTATGGGTGAGCTACTTGACATTGAGCCTGAAGAAGCCCCTGCTGATGAGGAGGACCAAACGAAAAATAAAAAGGGCTTGAGGAGAAAGAGCGTTTCACCCCTTGATGTTTCTAGGGAGGAGGAAGAAACTCCTAGGATAGAACAACATCCAAAGCCTGAAACACCAGGGAGCTGTGGAAATAATACCTCAGAGCATTATCGTATATTGGTAGATTTCAATGCACTAACTGGAGATAACCATCGTGACAGATGGTTGGAGAGGTTGCTTCAACACATTAAGTACATGTGTAGTTCTAATGATAGCATAGGAAGAGGCAAAGGATTAGAAAATGGCAATTCTGATGAAATCAACTATGAAAGCAAGAATGGTAGTTCAGAATCAGTAAATGACTGTCAAGACAAGGGTCAGAAGGTGTGACCAACCTGTATTATTAGGCCATTTGCAACTAATCATTTCCTCTTTTTGTTTTCCCTATTTCTCTTTTTCTTAACGGATATATGAATTTATCTCACTCTCTTTCTCGCTCTGTCTCTTTCCCCACTCCACAGAGTTCCAAGTCTTTTATCTGGCCAGATGCTGCTGTTTCAGCTGTAGTTGCTCTGGAAAAAGCTTCGCATGATTCTCTCTCATCAGATTCAACGAAGTACAACCAAAAGTTGCGACAATTAGATTTTAATCTCAAGGTCTGAAGCTGGCCTTGCATATTTAGGTTATACGCTTGAGATATTTTTAATTCTTGCATTTGAGTCATCAAGAAACCTACATATTGCTGCTAAGTTCTAATGTGGGACTTTTAAACTTTGTATTGATCTTTGTCTATATTATCAATTAAAATTAATGTCTAGGAGGTTAAAAATCTGAAACAAATGTATTATAATTCTATTCAAATAAAGAAATAATAAATTGGAAGGTTGGATGATCATACTCGTGCACACTAAGTAATTTGTGGGTACAAAATGTACAATATGTCTGTTTATGTTTTTCTCCTTGATCGATATCTTCACTATTACCACAACAACCAATACTTTTGAGATATTTTTGGCTCGGGAAATCCATATCTTTGTTTATGTTTCTCTGCTGCAATAATAATGAATTGATTGTACCGTTGTGTGTTTTTTGTTCTTTGCAGAAAAATGCAGTGTTAGCACGCCGTCTATTAAATGGAGAGTTGGAACCTTCGAAAATATTAAATATGACACCGAATGAATTAAGGGTATGGTATCTGAAAAGCTTTAGTCTTTTAAAACAATTCAATTGAACTTTTAGGCTGTCTGCTTCTGATGAAATGATAAACTTGTTTCTTAGATTTTCTTCTATGTTCTAACTTCACCCAGAAGTAGCATCTTTTCCTTTTTCCATATCAGTCATTGGTCCAACCTTCTAAAGTAGTCTCCAGCATATTATGCCCATGTGACATATATTTATCCTAACAAAAGAAAAGAACACACTTCTTGCTTGGATTTTATCAAATTTAATCTGTTACAAAAAAAAAATCTTCATTTCTCATTATATACATGAAGCTGGAACATTTGCTTTCCTAGATGACTCTTTATTTTGAAAAAAAAAAAAGGAACATTTGGATCTTTAATAGGGTGAAATGGAAGATATTTTATCACCTTATCTTATGGGTGTAGTGTGTTGTAATTGATTGTAGATGAAATTCACATCATAATTTTTGCGCTCGTTCTGTTTGGACTTGCTTTTGTAGGATGACTCTACTGGTTAAAGGCATAGGGGTAGTGCGTATATTCTAAATAAAATTTTGGATAATTTACTTCTAGAAATGGCTCGGGCACTTATAAGAGTGCTTTAAAAAAATGTCTGATGTTTTAAAAAGCTATTTGTGCTGTGTCTTTTATTAATACATTGGCATGACGACACATCATAAAGCAACTATGAATTGAAGTACCGGTAACTTGTCATCAATTTCTAAAAGCTGCTTTTGAAAAGATTAAACTGGTTGTTGATGCTCGGTTTCAAATGGTCATATCCTTAATATATGAACTTCAGGAGGGTTTGACTGCTGAGGAAAAAACCAAGGAGGAACCTGCTGAGTCTCAGCACATGCAAGTAAATTTTCCTCACTACAATATTGTTACTTGTCAAGTTTTGTGAAGATATCTACTTACTTCAGCTTTCGCACTCTTGAAAAAGATGACAGATGCCCGCTGCTCAAAATGCATGGATTGTAAGGTGGGCTTGAGGGAGATTATCCAAGCTGGAAATAGCGACCGTTATCAGGTTTTCATCTTTTTTCACTATAGTCCCGAATTCCAAAGCTGTGCCCTGCACTTTAATGACTTGTCTTGATTGCCTGCTGCCTTTTCAGCTGGAATGTGTTGCTTGTGGTCACTCCTGGTATGCCTCCCGGGATGAGGTGTCTATGCCGACAATAGATGGATCAGATTCAAAGAGAAAAACATAGGCACAGCGCCTTAAGCCACTGCAAAATTTGATGTTCAGAAGATGCTAGTGAACCCCTTGTATCTGAAAATGCAGCCAATTACATCTATAAGAAAATTAGTTAATCTTATATCCCTGTTTTGGACTCCCAGAAATCATTTGACGAGTCTGGGAATGATGACGAGACATGCTGATTAGGTGGAATGTTCCATCTATCTATCCTGTCCCGTGTAGCGTTTAGTCGTAGCGAAAGTTTATGTATGGATTCTTCTCCTGTTCGATCATGCGCATACAAAAAGCGGTTGGTTTTGCGTAATTCTTTAAATAATTATTATATTTGCACACCAACTTTCTCACATTCATTTTTTATTTCTTTCTACTTTTTTAATTACATCATTAATCACACCATTTCCCATTTTTTCTTTATTAATTTTCACTGTCTTCTTTCCATCTAGCTCACACTTTAAAATAGGATGTAGTCAATCATTTTCCTTCTAATAATCTAACTGATATTACTTCGAACATCATAAAGGGTGGTGTTAATCATTGCAGTAAATTTCCAAACTTACTTTCAGTTTGAAAGCGTTAACTTATTTAGATAATTAACAAACAAAATAGAAGAAAGTAATCTACCTTTACTATAAAAGATATAAGAGTGACGCTTCTTTATTATTAATGTGAATCCATCGAAAACTTCCTTTGAAAATTATATCACGGACAATAAAAAATTGAAAATCGGTGTGATCAAGCGGCTGATTGCGCTCCTTCATTCGGCTTTCATGCACCCGGTTTTTTTTTTTTTCATGTGAGTAGATGCACCGTAATCGATGTTAAAAATATATTTTAAAAATATAACTATTCTATTTTGTTGTTGAAAATAATTATTCTTATCTATAGTGACACGATTAATTTGCTTCGAGTTTGGCAGTGAAACAAAATGTGTACGGCTGTAATCGTATCATTTCCCTCTCAAATCTCAAATATCCTTCATAAACCAAAACAGGATGCGACCGACCGACAGTATTCGAGTTCGTTTTGCCGCCCCGCCAATCCAAGCACATGCGAACCAATGTTTCGTTTCTTATGATATTGTCCTTGTCTACGTCCAAGCCATTTTACACCTCTGCCCCTTTCGCAATGCTTCCCAAAATTACTATAACACTTCACGAAGGGGCATCACTGTCAAGAAAAAATTAACCAAAACACTTTGTCAGCATCACAATATCAATCACTACCCTTTTTTCTAATAATTGGATGGTGGAGGGAGCGGGGACAGATCTGACTCAGAATTGGACAAAGCCTGATTATGTGTTCTTAATATCTTAATAATATCATATGCACAGCCTGATTTCTTTAAATTTGTCATAAAACCTTAAGATAATGAATTTGTTGTTGTTTCGGACATTCACCCTCGTAATAACTATTAAGATAAATAAGACATCCTTGAACTTCATTCACACCGTTGTTCCTTGTTGATGGCCTTATTTGTCGTTTCATATCCCTCGATTTTGTTCTGTTCTGTGCGGGTACCTGACACCGTGTCCACTGGTCCCACATGCTGATTGCTGAGTGAGACACAACTAAAGGTATATCATAAAGCAGAGAAAAGAGAAACACGCAGCATATGATTGTGCTTAAAAAGGAGAAGGACAGAGCTTTTTTTTTTTTTTATTTATTTTTTATTTTTTAAAGTAGAGACATGTACAGAAGATTATCAGCTAATGTTCCCCTCGTTCTCGTGTGTGAGAGAGTTCATTGCCTCTCTCTCTCTCTCTAGTTTCCGTTACTGTTTGTAACCACTTTTTGGCAGCATTTATAATGCTTTACTGCTTCTTCTTCACCTTCCCTCCCTCATTCTACTTTTCGTTCTGAATTTCCTACGCGCCAGCAAGGTTTGCTGTTTTCTTAGGTTATACTCTTACTTCGGATTGGAGTTGGAGACATTTGATGGTGTATTGACTCTGTTTGTTGTGTTTTTCTATTCTTCACTTCTCCAAGATCTACCTTCAGTACGCCCTTTTGCTTTTACTATCTCTTTTTTTTTACCTTTCAGTTTTCTACTGTTATGGTTTGGTATCAAAGTGAACATTATTGTTTTTAGAATGTTTTAGTTAACATGATCCTTGTAACCACCTTTCTTCTGGGCGTTATAGCGATCGCCCTGTGTTCTTTTACCCTTTTCTTTTGCAATTTTTTTGTGCTATAGATCATGTACAACTTTTTTTTTTGGATGTTGGGAATCAGAATCGTTATTTTCAAGTTTTTTCTGCAATTCAATCTCTACTTTTTAGATCACTGATGGGACGATTCCTTTCCAGTGATGGTTGTTTGCAATTGGCATTTCAAAATTTAACGGTTTAGAAAATTTGTAGATATCTGTCATTCTGTTGTACAGTGTAGGTGCCGTTTCCTACCGGCAATCCCCAATTTGTTTTGTGAAATATTCTCACGTTCTGCTTCAATTATGATTTTCTTCTAAAAATTTGGGAGCTGAACCATAATTGAATATAGTGTACAACCTTGTAAATCATTGCAGTATTATGATATTTCTATGCTGATAGGGAAGCTGAGCTAAATATAGGTAGATTAGTTGTAAAATTAAGTTTTAAAGATAGTTAAATGACAAATCAAATACAGCACTGTGTCAAATGCAATTGGATCTCTCTCTTTCAAAGTAATAATATATGTTTTTTATTTTATTTTCCATTTAATAGTTTTGCAGGGCTCTAGTTTGTGGATGGGACAAGAATTGAAGTTGGATCGAGATAACAAGTCTTCAGTGGGTCTCAGTCCCGATACTGTTCTTCCATCTCATCAATATTGTTTGAATGTGAAGAAGAGATATAAAAATGGGAAACCCACTGGGAAAGATGGTTTTTTGAAACTCAGAGAGTTTTGCTGATATAAAATTTCCTCGCTTTTCCAGTTTTTCACAGAAGAGCCTTCTATGTAAACCTCATGGAGTGGAAGGCAACATAGAAATCAGACAAGGTCCCATCTATCAAAGTTCAGAGCAGGTAACAAGTACAAAGAAAATGGGCATCGTGGGGAGAAGGAAAAAAATAGAAATTTCGTGTAGGAGTATTGACACCTCTTTTTCTGGTATTGTTGTTGATTCTCTGTGTGGTTCAGATGATGAAAGTCTAGATGAGAGACCTTCAGTAATATCTCAGGACTCAAATTTAGGTTCTCCATCTCCATCTGTTTCTGGTTCCTGGGCTTGTTTTGAGCACAATCCGTTAAATGGCTTTATTGAATTTTGCTTAGATTCAGATGTTTGGGATGAAAAATCTTGTGCATTAGAAGGAATTGGTTCTATAAATACAGAGATCAGAAGCGACGAGGTTGCTGGTTCACTACTTGATGATAATTTTCCTCTTCAAAAAGACACAGTTCATGGATTACAGAAATCACTCTATGCTATGGTTGAAATATCTCATGTTCACTCTCCATCAGAGAGTGACTGCTCATCAAGATCAAGGCCGAAAGCCAGACTCAACCCTATCAGGAAAAGGCTAAATCCATTCACAAAGTCAAAACCTTTTACAAGCCCAGTGAGTTGTGTGCTGGACACTAATGAGGTTAAATTAACTGGGACTAGAAACATTACAAGACACAAACCTTATAAGTCTTTGCTGAATGACTTCTCTAACACAGCAAAGCACTCTGACATTATTTCTGAGTTCATCAATAGAGATATCCTGTTTTCAGGTTTATCATGTTCACCTGTTCATCTTCACGGTATTCTCAAATTGAAAAATAAACAAGGACTGCCATTTTTTGAGTTTAAGGTAAAGTGCCCTGAAGAAGTCTTTGTGGCAAAGACATGGAAATCAGGAAATGCTTTCAACTGGGTGTATACCTTTCACTCAGTCGATAATAGAATGAAAAATACTGCCCCTGGCGTGGGAAGTGACAAAGACTTGTCAATGGAAGCACAGATGCTAGTTTCCTATAATGTATGTTCTGACTTAGAAAGTGGAATGTTTGGCAACTCTATGGTGGCAGAATTTGTGCTGTATGATCTTACACACTCAAGAAAAAGTGTTTCACCTGGAAAAATTTCTTACAGCGAGCAAGATTGTTCTAAATCTCTAAAAGCTTCCCGTGTAGGAAAAACTTTCATGCCAGATGAGACTTCAGCAGTTAAAAACATGCTTCTATCAGGCAATGCAGATATTGATAATTCAAATTCTTGTCCTTTGTCGACCTCAGAATTGCATTTGAACCTTGAAATTGCTGCCATCGTCTTGCAAATTCCGTTTCTCAGGAGAGAAAGCTTGAAATACAGAAGAGGGGATAGAACAAATACCGAAGCATATTCCAAACCAAGTCATCTCTTTTCAGCAGTAGAGAAGAGTAGAAAAAGCCATTGTGCCAGAAAAGTTTCGGAACACTTGAAGGTGGTACTACCAAGTGGCAACCATGGTTTGCCAAGTGCTGAAAGCCAGGGTCCCTCAAAATTACTTGATCGATGGAAACACGGTGGCGGTTGTGATTGTGGCGGCTGGGACATGGCCTGCCCCCTTATTCTTTTAGGCAATCCTAGTATTCAATTTGCTGAAGACCACCCTCTCATGGAGGAATGCCAAACATTGGAACTTTTCACTCAGGTAAAGCTTGTACTTCACACTAGTTCTCTAATTTACCTCTTTCAACTTTGGGCTGCTTTTCACATACAATGATCAAATACCATGGATTTGTTTATAGGGAAATAGTCATACCATTAGTTTTCTTTAGGTGATTTAAATCTTCTGAATTTATTTTTATTTTCTCTTCCCAAACAAAGATAGATGCTTATTCTAGAAAAGTTGCACAAGCTGGCGAAGAGTTATGGTGCCATGGTAGTTTGAACATTCTTCAATTTAGTGTGAAGAACTCTCTAATCTATTTTACTATTTGTGTCAAGCAACCATTTGATATTAGATAGAATGCATCCACCATAGGATAAAAAGCAAAAAGATACCAGCTCTATGCATGCATCAACATAAGATGTCAAATATGGTTGTGATTCCCATTGGAGCTTTCTCTGTTTCAATCAGTGTAGCAGTTTTAACACCTTCATTTATGAGATTTTGATTGTTTTTTATGGTGCATAGGGAGCCAAAGAAAGTACTCCTAGCTTTGGCATGAGGATAGTCGAAGAGGGGCAATATGCAGTTGATTTCCATGCACAATTATCCCCGTTACAAGCTTTCTCCATTTGTGTTGCCATTTTGCATGGCACCTCAGCCTTCAGCGGTGCAGGGAAGGAGAAAAAGCAACACTTGTCTCAGTGCAATTCATTGAAAATGCTTATTGAGGAGGAAGTAGAGCTTTTTATCAAATCACTCACAACACAAGAGAAGAAGACAGTGTCCAAGATTCAGAAGGGAATTCCTTCAACCTGTGTGTTAAACCCACCTTTTTCACCTATTGCACGAGTATAAAAGTGTAGTGTACCCCCTTATAAAGAAAAAAGAGTAGTGTAGGTAAGGATCATGCTTTGTAAGTTGTAAGACCAATTAGAACAAACATATCATTATTGTAATGGTATAATTAATGGGAAATTGATAAGAAAAGGTAATTGGAAAGAATTTTACTCTAGATTCCACATTTGCTGTCCTTTCCTTATGTGTTAAGTATTCAAAATGATGGAGAACATACTGGAAATTAGCCCCCGCGTATTGTTAAAAAATCATCATCGCCGTTGCCGGGGATCGAACCCGGGTCACCCGCGTGACAGGCGGGAATACTTACCACTATACTACAACGACAGCCGATGTCATATCTCAATGATAAAATGAACATAAAGCATTAAAGAATATATGAATAACCATATTGTTTTCAATATTAGAGTGTATATAAATATAAATTTGTTTCTATATGCTATAAATTGAATATATGTAGGATAATTTTTTTTTCAATACTAATATTCTGAACATTAGACTGTTACCCTTTCAAATTCAATCTCTAAAATTGCGTTTTCATGCCCTTCACGGACAGAGGAAGAGAAACCAAAACTAACTGTTGTTTTCTTGATAAATATATTAACTTTAATTGTTTTTTTTTATGTCAAGTTAATTACTTATATTTGTGTGCTAGACAACTATAATCACCCATTGACTAAAACTGTAATTATAATAATTTATAATACTACACCAAAGAATAGTGATGGATAGGATGCATCTATTTTGCACACGCCACCCTGAGCCGGCAGCTGTATGCTCTGAATCCACCAACCAGGTTGGACTTTGAGAATACAGTAAATACAAAATGAAGGATATAAATAAATTTGTCACTATATATTTTTTTACTATTTAGTTCACCGAGCACGCCATTAGCTATTTAACTTACAGAGAAATTATTTTATAATAACATTAAATTTATTTATTTATTTATTTATTTGGTAGAACTATGGTAGAGGTGTGGAGGAAAAAAAATATAAGATGAATGATGAAATAAAAAAGTAAGATATTAAAAATTTTACACAACGCTCGTGGCTCACCATTGCTTATTTTGTTCACTTTGTTTGTCCCCATTAAAAAAGTGCATGCGTATTTGTAAAGATAAGTGTAAGAACATGCCATGGGCATCACATTTTGTCTTGCATGAAGGCTTGTTCTCTAGTACGTTTTTTATCATGGTAGTTGGTACTCATCTACCCATCCTTACATCACGGCTTCACAAGTGAATGATCTCATCTTTAAGATCCAATTTCAAACCATTTATGTTCAACAAACTGAATGATATTGGTTTTGTCCAAATAAGGATCTTGGCAAGTTAAACTGAATGGTGTCAAACAAATTTTGAAGTATTGATTTGCGTCCAAAGAAGGAAATGCTGGCAGAGAACCTAAAGAAACAACTTGCTTTAGCAGTGAAAAGCATTAACTGGAACTATGCAATCTTCTGGTCTAACACAGATACACAACCACGGTACTAACACTCATTCATATTTGTGATTTTGTTCTTTGCCCTATCCCTATCAATTACTTGGGAGGATTTATCTGATATTACTGCTTATTAAGTCGTTGCTAAGGGGCCATGATATTCAAAATAAATTTTTTTCTGCCTGTTTTGTAGGGTCTTGAGATGGGGAGAAGGGTATTACAATGGAGGCATTAAGATCAAAAGGACAAATGAAACAATGGATGTCAATTCTGACCAAATAGGCTTGCAGAGGAGTGAGCAGCTTCGAAAGCTATATGCATCTCTCAAAAGTGCAGAAGTCAACTCACAAACGCAAAGACCTTCTGCTGTAATATCCCCTGAAGATCTCACAGATGCCGAGTGGTTTTACTTGGTTTGCATGTCCTTTGAATTCAACATTGGCCAAGGGTGAATTTTCTCTCATTTTTCCAACACACAAACATCTTCCCAAACTGGTGTGTGCATTAATCTTGGTCTTATCATTAAATATTTCTATGTATACTTAGATTACCAGGAAGAGCTTTAGCAAATGGCAAACCGATTTGGCTGTGCAATGCCCTTTCTGCTGATAGTAGAGTTTTTAGTCGTTCTCTCTTTGCAAAGGTAGAATTCTGTTTCTTGGCATGCCTTGTTCTCTTCTTCTTTGGGCTAAATGTCATTTATTACGTGCATTTTAGCTGTGTGGCTTGCTTGAAATGACCTTGTCTGAACAATCTCTTCTTTTTTCGGTTCTCTTTCCATAACCAATCACACTTGCAACAATGGTCCTCTCTCTTGATCAGAGTGCATCCATTCAGGTACCATTTCATTTTCCTTAACCTACCTATCTCTAATGCTATCAATGCACCGTGTAATTCATGTTTCCTTCGTCTTAACTTTCAGACAGTGGTGTGCTTTCCTTTTCTGGAAGGGGTCATGGAGCTAGGCACAATTGATTTTGTAAGCTTTCCCCTCGATTTTTAGCATAATATGGTTCTTATATTTGGCACTTCCCAAGTAATATTCACTAGAAAAAATTGCATTTGTTTTTTGTCAAGGTCTCAGAAGACCACAGTCTCATTCAATGGATCAGAAGTTCTTTCTTGGATATTCTAGATACCAGTGTTCCTGAAAGGTCGGGAGCTACTTTCAGTGCAAGAAATGACGAAGGTTTTGCTTGTGTAGCATTCAATCGTAATGCATTACAAGCCAATCGACCAGCACAAACATTCACTGCTAAAGGGACAATTGGTGGTGGCGCTTCTCAAGTGCAAAGCTGGCAAGTTTTGGGTGATGAATTGAGCAACTGTGGCCAAAACTCCATGAGTTCTAGTGGCTCTATATCTCAAGCTTTTGACAATCCTGACAAGATTACTTTTGTTACCAAGAGTGAAAATCCAACCAGCTACTGTGCAGAAGACCTTCAAGAAAGCAATGGCCCAAAAACAACTTCAGTGGATCTTCCCAGTGATGATCAACATTATCAGAGACTTCTTTCAGCCCTTCTAAAACACTCAGACCAGTTAAATATGGGGTTGCATTTTCAAAATGTTCACAGGGAATCAAGCTTTGTCATTTGGAACAGACAAGGATCAATGGATTGTCAAAGACCAAGAAGAGGAATACCACAGAAATTATTGAAGAAGGCATTGTTTGAAGTTCCTAGGATGCACGTGGATTGGCTACTTGAGGCTCAAGAAGAGAGAGATTATAGAGAGGGAATGAGACCGGAGGTAGATGAAATTGGCATGAACCACGTCCTTTCAGAAAGAAAGAGAAGAGCAGAACTAAATGAAAGGTTTTCAACTCTTAGATCAATGGTCCCTTCAACTACTAAGGTAATTTCTATTTCATTCATGATAGTTGTTCACTTGCATGCCATTTCTTATATTATAAGCATAAATTCCTACAGGATGACAAAATTTCAATACTAGATGATGCCATAAATTACCTAAGAAAGCTTGAGAAAAAGGTAAGGGAGTTGGAAGCTCAAAGGGTGCTAATAGATTTAGAAGCTAGAACTAAAAGAACACCACAAGATATGGTGGAAAGGACTTCTGATAATTACTGTAACAACAAATTTGATAGTAAAAAGAAGTCAGTGGTAAACAAGAGGAAGGCTTCTGACATTGATGAGAAAAGGCGAGGGATCAGTTCAAAAGCTCTTAAAAAAGCTTCAGCTAGTAATGTTACTATCTGCATGAGAGACAATGAAATTCTGATTGAAATGAATTGCCTTTGGAGAGAAAGAGTGTTGTTGAAAATTATGGAAGCAATCAATAGCCTTTGTTTAGATTGTCATTCGGTTCAATCATCAGAAGCTGATGGGAATCTTAATCTGACCATTAAATCTAAGGTAAGCACTTGGGTGTAAGCCCTTCTGATTTTTTGCTTTCAACAGAACATGACTCCCTAGAAATATTCTGTATGTCCCATTCTCTAGGGTGACACATTCATACATTCGGTACTCTCTTGCATGATCATTTCTGAAGCGTGACATATTGGTATTTTATCCTAAATTGAGTACACTTTTATTTGCAGTTTAGAGGACCAAATGTTGCATCAGCAAAAAGGATCAAACACACACTCCAAAAAGCGGCTTTGAAATGTTGAATCTAGTATTTCCTCAAAAACCATGTGAATGTTCAATTTAGTTCACGTAATAATTAAGAGGGTACATCTAGATTAAGTCACATGTTCCAGGTCTTGGACATTCTGTAAGAAGATTCTAATATAAGGATAATTTAGTTGTTGGACATATCATTACTTTCTACCTCACATAACACGAACTTCTCTCCAAGCAGTTCGAACATGCAAGGCTTATTTAACTTCACAATTCCTGAAATTCACGTAATTTCACCCAATTTACTTAATAACGCAACATTATGTTCATGTTTACACAAATTTCTCTCAATTTCTTATACAGATATACATATCAAGAAAAATTAAACATGTAAAAAAAAAAGTGACATTAAATATAATTCTGTTGAACTTTAAAAAATGGGAATATAATTTTCTTTTAACAATATCCAAGGTAACCTTTATACAATTAAAAAATGTTCATTCTTGAAACAAATAATTTTGTATTGTTGTTTTTTTCTCTCCCCATGAGCATACTTTTACAACTTAACAATTTTTAGTTCTCAAATTTCAGCTAAGAGTGGATCCATATTTATTAGTAAAATATTTTTTTAATGAATCAAGGTCTATTAGATCTGTCTGTCCCTGATCTCAACTATTAATAAATTCAAAATAATGCCTATTCCATGTTAAATTTCTCCTTTTCTTTTTATATTATTTTTTCTCTTCCAAACATTTGCTGCTCTTCTCCTGTATACTAAATTACGGCATGCTATCTTTTAAGTAATTCAATCTTCTTTTAACAACACATACTGGTTGAAATTACAAGGAACTTTGTTCTCCTTAAACAATATCTTAAACTTGAATTTTATGGATAAAAAAATAATAATGAGAGAGTTTCATCTTTTTAAACGGATCCACAATTCCACTGACTCAAATTAGCCTAAATTTAAATTGAGGAGTCATGTTTGTCAATGACATATTCATTATCTTTTATTTTTATATTACATTTTTATTTTACTAACATTAAACTGAATATTTTAAAATATGTTGCTTAAATTTAAAAAAATACAATTTTTTATACATGACGGGCGTGTCTTCTGAGGATTACAAAAGGCAACAGCAGTCTTCTTTGTCGCCGTGACTTTACCGCTTTATCTTTTCTACCTTTTCTTCCTTTTTTTTAAAATAATTATAACACATTTTTACGCTATTTTTGTCTTGACTCTCATCAATTATAATGCACGCATCCATATGACTCCATCACCAGTTCCCTCTGCAAATATTATTATTATTATATTATAATAATAGTAATATGCTTTTATTTCTTTATTTTATTCAATGGATCAAAATCGAGAGTTGATTGTTCCAAGACGCAGCAGCGAAAGCATTTCTTCATCTCTCTCCGTTTCAACTGCAAGTGGGTAATGGATTCATAAACCTTGTTCACACTGCATCCATGGCTTCGGAGAAGATATGCTGGATTCTTCTATCTTGTGCTGTAATTCTTCTTCTCCATCATGCTCCTTCCGTCATGGCTGGGGACATAGTTCATGACGATGATTCAACTCCCAAGAAGCCAGGTTGCGAGAACCAGTTCGTTTTGGTATACCCTCTCTACAAAGTTCACTTCTTTTTCTCTTTTCATTTCTGGGTTTCTCTCCTTTTCCTCATACTAGAAGCATGCTTATGATCATGTTCATGGAGCATCATGTTCTCTTCTTACTTGTCCAAAATTAGACATTTAAGATCAAAGTTTAGTTTCTGATTAATTAATAAGTCTCAAGTTCAATTCAAGCGGTGATTAACTCATTATTGTTATTATTGTAAGGTAAAAGTGCAAACTTGGGTCAATGGTGAAGAGGATGCTGAATTTGTTGGTGTGGGTGCCAGATTTGGCAGAACCATTGTGTCTAAAGAGAAAAATGCTCGGCACACGCGCCTTGTTCTTTCAGATCCACGGGATTGTTGCGGTCCACCAAGGAATAAGGTTCTTTCTTCTTATGTGACATATTGCAGTGTACTATGGTCACAAGTGTAGCAAAGTACTAAATGTTATCTAAACTGTCAGATTGTGGGAGATGTCATCATGGTGGATCGAGGCAACTGTACATTCACAAAAAAGGCTAATACTGCACAGGATGCTAATGCTTCAGCTATTCTCATCATAAATAACCAAAAAGGTAAAAATGATTTCCTTTGTTTTTGCCCTTATTTTGGGGGGTTTTGTTTTTTGGTAGTTGGAGGAGTTGAGTGGGTCATGTCTGGTACATACATTTTTATCTCCTTTTTCATGTCAAATTTGTTTTTGTTGTTTGCAGAACTTTACAAGATGGTTTGTGATCCTGATGAAACTGATTTAAACATACACATACCTGCTGTCATGCTACCACTAGATGCAGGTACAAGGCTGGAAAAAATGTTGACGACTACTTCATCTGGTGAGCTTTGTTTTCTTTCCATTTTCATTACTATCTCATATTTTGAGGACTTGCAATAGTCTCTATTTAATGCAGTTGGCTAAGTCATGGCCACAACATCTTTAATGCTCTGCGAAGATTCTTTAACTGCCATGTAACTCCTATTTTGTTTTTCATTATTTAATTGCAAATTTTTCCTAACAAAAATTGCCTTTTTGCAGTGTCTGTACAGCTATACTCACCGCTTAGACCTGCTGTTGACATAGCAGAAGTATTTCTTTGGCTGATGGCAGTTCTTACCATATTGTGTGCATCATATTGGTCAGCATGGAGGGCCCGAGAAGCAGCTATTGAACAGGATAAGCTATTAAAGGTCACTTTTTCCTATTCTTTTAGCATTTCCTCAAGCTTGATTCATATTTACTCTCGCAGTATGCTGTTGATCCTTATGTAACTTACAGTCAAATCTTATTTTTATAGGATGCTTCAGATGAAATTCCAAACATTACAGCTTCGGGTGTTAGTGGAGTTGTAAATATGAGTGCGAAAGCTGCAGTCCTTTTTGTTGTACTTGCTTCATGTTTCCTGTTTATGCTTTACAAACTGATGTCATCCTGGTTCATTGAGGTTTTGGTTGTTCTCTTCTGTATTGGTGGGATTGAGGTACTAACTTCAATTAAATCAGTCTAAAATTCTAAATTTTTTGCATCTGTGTGAAAAAAATCTTTTCAATATTTATGCAGATAAAATGAAGGCAGTAGGCATGAGTGCACACTATAACATCTTAGTTGCCATTGCTGAATTCAAATTCTGTGTCTTGTTCTTGCTGCATATCCTCTGCCAAGTTCTCTCTCTAACCATATTTTGTCTTGCATCTGCAGGGCTTGCAAACTTGCTTGGTTGCTCTGTTGTCTAGGTGTGGTATATTACCTTTAGTGAATGTATTACTATTTGGAAGTTATTATGAATTTTTGGTCTTAGTATAGACCGGGATTCTCTCCTGTTTTGGCGCGAACTGGACAGTCCAGTCAAGTAAAATTTTGCATTTTCGTTTAAGCGAAAATTTTTAGCTTAAGCGAAAATGCAAAATCAACGTGAGAGGACGTCCAGTTACGGGAGAGAATCCGGATCCTCTTAGTATACATCTAGTAAGATTGCCATTTACTATTTTTTGAAACAATTCCTGTTTACTTGAGAAGCTCATATAAGATCTAATGAGAGTTAACATACATTTTATGACAAAATAATAAACTATGTTGGATGGGTTATATGTTTGTGGTACAAGTGTACCCGTCGAATAGTAATAAAAGAGTTATCAAATTGAGTATTTGGAATATCGTCCCACAGAAATTGTTTTAATTACTAAGAATTTTAATTTAATTGTTTGAATTTAAATAGTGCGTGGAAAAAATCTAAGACTTAAACAAGAAAAAACATAGTTAAAAGAATATAAAATAGTGCAACTTTCGATGAGAGCTAATTGAGATAAACTTAGGACATATAATTTCACCTTTACACCTCATTATTTTCACTATTAGTTTTTTCCTATCTTTATTTTTCTATGATTGTTGATCACTCACTAAATCTTATTGACACACAATGGTCATGTAATATTAACATTCTTTTTTCTAAGCTATCACTCGTAATGATCATGTAAGGTAAAGAGAAAAAAAACATAAAGAATCAATGAGTTTTTTAGTTTAATAACGATTGAAAGAGAAAAATTAAGCTTGATTCACTTAATTCTTTATTTTATTTTTTTTTTATAGATTTATTAACTACATGTGGTACAGTCGCTTACAATCCAATTAATTATGATATGTTAAGGATGGTCAATTCTTAACATACAAATGTAAACTTACTAGGATAAAAATCAATCAATAAAGGAAACTACAATTGTCATTAACCGTAAAAATTATATAAATTGTGCATAAAATCCACGGTAGTGCTAATTATGAATTTAGCTACTCATAATAAAATAAACAAAAAAAAAAATTGTAAAAAAATCTATATCTATTTGAAGAGGGAAACAAACTAGGAAACCAAAGAGAAAGAGAAGAAAATAATTCCTATTTTCCAACTATGCTCTTAATCACTTGTTCAAACTTTGAAGGGATGTTCTTCATCTTTGCTAAGGATCTCTACTCCAAAGCACCTTCAAAACTGTTGAAATTCGGCTAGGCAAAAAGTTTTTCTAGTTGGGCCTCATTCTTCCTTAAATAGGGTTCTTAAAAACCGTTAAAATTATTTGAATTTGAATTATGTTTGGTCGTGCTAGATGGTATGCATGGCCAATGCTTGTTCACAAAGTACTCTCAGTGCTGCTTGTTAAGCAAGGTTATGCTTCCTTTTGCATGTGGCCTTGTTTCCATCAAATTTCATGTAATTGTGGCCATAATGCTTCCATACTATGTTGGTAATCTCTTTCATGCTAAATTGCCCAATCAAAAAAGAAATCAATAAAAAATTCCCATCAAATAGGGGTCAAGTGTATGAAATGAAGCTATAAAAACACTACAAAATATAGACTTATCATTACCCATTTTAATACATTTCAGCTTCATGCCTTGAGCATTGACATAAATATTTTGCCTTTTTCTAAATGCATATTTCATTAATTATTGTCGAATCTTAGACTAGAAATTCATAATGCTAGTATGTAACTCTGATATTGCTTTCACAATGAGAAGTTATTCTCAGTATTGATAAATTGTTTATGCTTACCCTTTCTAATATGTGCTTTTTTTGCTCATAATCTCCAATGAAATGTAGCTAAGCAATTGGTGAAACCTGTGACTGGGTTGATAGAAAAAATGAGCTGTAAAATCTGTAGTAGGAAATAAAACAGCCAAGGCTTATCTTCTCTTTCTTCATTTATTATTTACTTCTATGTGGAGGAATGCTTATAGTGCATTTCTTTCCCATATCTTCCATACCCCTGGGATTTGGTACTTTTCTTTAATGATTCTAAGATGATTTTAGCAAGCGAAAGCAAAGATGATGGACAAGGTTTGGAGAAGTCTGTCACTGTCCTTTTATTCTCCTGAAGACATGATGAAAAGTAATTATAATATTTTGCTGATACACATTATGACACAGCTGACTAAATGACTGAGAAAAGGGTTTTTTAGGTGTAACCTACATTCTTAGTATTTAAGACTTCATTGAACTTAATTTGATCTTTCATTTATTTTGTGAGAAAGTAATATAACATAAAATACGTGATAAACTGAATTGCTGTATGTTTTACTGACATGAGGTGTTTATAATCTTATTGCATTTTGATGTCTACAAATGGTATATAAATGTTTCAAATGATAGAGGATCAGGATGCTTTAATTACCTCATATTCTTGAAAATCATATCTATAAGGTATTCAGTCTCTTCTTTCTTCACATTTGAGTAATTTGGAAACCTGAAACGTTGAGGATGATGTGTTCTAGAATGTTTGAATTTTCACCCTTGCATCCTTTTATGTCCATTTTAATTGAAGTTGCCAATATGTTCCTCACTACCTCCATGATGTTGAGTAGTAGAAGAAACTTATTTTGTTTTCCTGTGCAGATGGTTCAAGAATGCTGGAGAGTCATACATTAAACTACCTTGCTTAGGAGCTATCTCATACCTGACTTTGGCTGTTTCTCCATTCTGCATTACATTTGCTGTTCTCTGGGCAGTTTATCGCAGTGAATCCTATGCCTGGATTGGTCAAGATATACTTGTAAGGATAATTTTTTCTCCAGTCCTAAATGCTTTTCCTCTCTTCTTCAAATATTTCATGTAGACACTAAGGTCTAAAGGAACTTGGCTTTTTTCTTTGTTACTTTTTAAAGAGAAAGAAGGTACACTTCTCATAATTTAGGTGTGCTTTATATGCATAAACTGTGCCATGGGATCCGTGTACCACCAGTATGTTCTAAAAGGAAATTCAACCACTTGTCAGGATTGTCAAGTGTGCTTTTGGTGAAGATTTTTTTTTTTGGACCCTTTTTTTTTTAATTTAACTATTTCATAATATTTTTTTGCACAACTGTACTAGAATAATAAACTTTGCTATTCCTAGATATCATATGAAAAATCTGTTTGTTTTTCATACTTAACAGAATAAGCTATCTGTCACTGCCCATTTAATCATTATTTCTTTTTCATTGGTTATTCTAACAGGGTATTGCACTGATAATCACAGTTCTACAGATTGTACATGTACCTAATCTTAAGGTAATTATTTGAGCTTACACTATCTTGTGCAGTGCTTTATGTCAACCATGTTAAAATAATTGAGTACTATTACTTCCCAATAGTAGCTTTTGTATGGAGCATTATATTTACTTCTATACCTGGAAGAGATGAAGTAGCAAAATATTCAATTTGTTTTGCTTATCTGGTCAACCATTGCGTATATTTTTCAACCCTATTTGTGCAGTGAACACTCAAATCTGTAATTTGTCATGTTAGAGTCTTTCTATATATATACTTGTGCTTTATGAAATGTTTCTTTATGAAAATTAAGATACTCATGTTATATGATTTGATTGTTTCATGAATTAGGTTGGTACAGTTCTCCTCAGCTGTGCATTCATTTACGACCTCTTTTGGGTGTTTGTCTCAACTAAGTTCTTCAATGAAAGCGTCATGATTGTGGTTAGTATTATACTTCATTCTAATTCATGACAATCCCTGGCACACCCTATGTATTTACTCATTTTAATTTTGTATATATCTTTTACTTTCTATAGGTAGCCCGAGGTGATCGAAGTGGAGAAGATGGAATTCCTATGTTACTGAAGTTCCCACGCATTTTTGATCCATGGGGTGGTTACAGCATTATAGGCTTTGGAGACATCCTTTTACCCGGAATGCTGGTGGCATTCTCACTCAGGTTTTATTGCCTCCCTCTTTTCTCCCTTGTCCCTTACTTAAGTAATGTCACCATTAAATTGTATTATTTTAGTAACAACAGTGCTCAAATTTTATGGATTAGAATTTTGCTTTGATCTGTTTTCAGGAATTTTACTTTGAGAGAATAATAACCTTAGAAACATGGGAGAGTAAAATAATTTTGGGTTCATAAAACAGCATTTTCCCAGTCCTTCTTGTAAATTGATTATTGCATTAAACCTTTTTCTAAAAGCAAAAAGCTTTTTGTTACTTTGTTGCAGTATACTTTCTAGGCAAGTTTTAGTTGATGAAAAAGCATTTCTGATCAATGGTATGCTTTGCAGGTACGATTGGCTGGCAAATAAGAACCTTGTCAGAGGATACTTCTTGTGGGCAATGTTTGCTTACGGCTTTGGTGAGAATAAACTCCCAGTAACCTTGTCTTCTACTGACTTCGATCAACCTGTTTTTTCAAATTATACAGTTTTTAATGACCAAAAACTGAGCATTTTTCTTTTATTATTTGATGTTGAAGTTACATGGTTGATTGAGCGATTACATATTATCCACATGACCTAACTTTTCCCTTATGTTGGTTAGGTCTTCTAATTACGTACGTGGCACTAAACTTAATGGATGGGCACGGCCAACCGGCACTACTATACATCGTTCCATTTACACTTGGTAGTTTTAATGATAAGATAATTTGTTGTCATTTTTATCAACAAAAAATAAAAAAGAAATTATCTAGGAATTTGCTGAAATAGTATTTACATAATTAAGTGCTGATGGTTTGACATAATGCAGGGACCTTGATGACATTGGGACGGAAGAGAGGAGATTTGAGGGAATTGTGGACAAGAGGAGAACCTGAAAGACCCTGCCCACATATCAGACTCCAACATAGTGGAGAATTAAGCCCTCAATGATATTTATTGTAATTGTAATTGTAATTTGCACCTGTTGTTATATATTTGGTGTATGTAATGCATGCCTTATATTCGGGAATTGGGACCAAAACCAACCTCACTGAGGCTTAGCATCATAATTTTATGTAACCTATCCCCCTTTAAACAAAGCAGGGGGCTCACATCTATAGAAATAGTCTAAATTTAATGTAGTTAGTTCAGAAAGTTCTTACATCATATAAATCTCTAATTATTCACTGTCATACTCTCCATGATTGTAAAATCTGCTTTGTTTGATGCTTTGGTGTATTGTATGACTAATGGTTTTGTACCTCAACTTTTCATTCATGGGTCATGCTCCTGATGTAAAAGAATGAAAAACACTAAAGCTTTTTTAAGTAATTATCATTTTTAAAGAAATATTTAAATTTTATTAAAAGAATGCAAGAACTTTTGCGAAAATAAATTTGTACACATAAACTTATTATTGGCATGTTTAAATTAACATTTTTTTAAACAAAAAATAATAGCAATACCCTCCTTGCAATTGGCTCAGAATTGTGAGTGAAGAAGAGGAGGGCATGACTGCTGCACGTGAGAGTCCACGCAGCACCGAATAGGGTATCCTATGAGGGTGAGCTGTTCGGCACAATTAAACTGGACTAGGCCCACCAAAGTTAGAATATTATTTACAGGGAAAATATTTCTTTAATGTATTTTTATAATTAGTTAAATTTTAAAAAATAATTAAAATAAATTTTAAAAAATTATTCATCAAAATATATTCCATAAAAATGTGTTACTGATATTTCTTTTATTCACAAAAGAAAAGAATAATATCTTCATGTTTCGTTATGGAAATGATTTAAAAGTTTGACTGATATAATTCGTATAATTTTAAACAATGTAACAACCTTTTTAAAGCATGTTAAAATTAAATTCATAGTTAAAACGTAGAAAGGATTAAAAAAATTCAAATGTATAAAATGAAGGTATCATCTGATTATGCTTTGAAAATAGTTTACAGTGTCAATGACATGCTGAAATAATTTTGAAAAAGAAATAGCTTATAAAAATTTCATATATTTTAGAGGCGAGACTAATCTTTTTAGACAAGATTGAATAATCAGCTAAAAATGAGGGACAAGAAAAACGAGGCATTTTTTTAGGGGCTGTAGCACAACAACGTTGTAAAGTGTTGCAACAGTTTGATTAGGGACGCCACGCCAGAAAGTAAAAGCCGTTACCCATGCCCATGTGCAATGCAATGGTACCACCTCACTTTCCCAACGGTCATCACCAAAGTTAAAGATCATACATCTTTGGGATAGTATCTATTAAACTCAGGTAAGTGTAAAGATTTATACCAAATTTTAATAGTATAAATTAAATAATTTAATGATTAAAAAATTATTTAAAAAATATGTAAAAAATAATAATATTATTAAATTATTTAATTTATACAGTTAAGATTTAGTGTTAGTATCAATAGATCCTATCTCATCTTCTTTATATTTATAATTATAATTTTTTTAATATTTAAAAATTAAAAATATTTATATTTTTTAAAAATAATTCATTAACTTCACTGTTAATATAAATTAATAATAATAATTATTTCACATGTGAGATAACATAAAATATACTTTTTAATTTATAAAATGCTTTAAAAATTATCTTTTTTTCTTGTAGTCCAAACAGATTATTTTTATACTAAAAATAATTATTAAATTTTTTTAAAAATTAAGAAAATATGATTTTTTTTTAAAAATTGGTAAAAAATTATAGATGACGTTTTACTAGTACTTTAAAAAAATTATTTTTTAAAAAATTGTCATTTGACTTTTAAAGTTTATAACTTTTTAGTTTTTTATTTTTAAATCTCAATAACTACGTTAAAAATCGTTGTTGACAATTTTTAAATATTAATTTTCTGTAATTTTTCAAAAATTTTATATTTTAGTATATATAATTTTTAAATATTTTATATTAAAAAAATTCAGTCCAAGCTGCTCATATTTTATTTTTTATAAATTATAAAATGGTTACACATAATGCAAATATAGATAGCGGAGTTACACAGTCAGTTTTGAATATCCAATAATTAATTTTTCTTACCTGACCCTCTCACTCCAACCTTCAAAATCACTTTCGCATTGTACAGATCAGCTTTTTTTTTTTTTATCCCCGAAACCCTGTGGTTGTAGGGTAAACTATTGAACCATAGTTCTCTACATAACAGGGAAGGATTGTAAAGTGTTAAAATTTATTTAAAATTACATTCAATTTCTCTCAAATTAATATTATTAAATAAATTTTAAAAATAGAAAGAAATTCTCTCAAACTAAACAGGTTGAAGTTTTTTGATGTTACGTTTTCCAAAAACAGATATAATGCCACTTGACAAAACCTTCCCTTGGAGTACACACATGTATATACATATAGACTGTAGTTTACGTACTGAGGTATCTCTTTATTCACATATTATTTACTCACTCAATTAACAATGCTAAGCAAAAACTCAAGCCACTAGAATGGAATGCTACCAAAAACAAAAAAAAGCCATTAGAATGGAATAGTTGAGGAGTTTGGATAATTTATATAAGGTTATGGGATTATGCTTCATTATCACTGTTGTATTTTTAGAAAAAAAATTACATCTGTCTCAGTTACCAAGGCTATTGAATCACTTTGCACAAGTTATTAACATAATTTGACTCCATGACAATTCAAGAACTTCCTCCTAACACGTATGGTATAGCTTTTTGTTCTTGCCTCTTTTTTTTAACATTGTTTATGAACTTATTCAGTGCGCGTGACTCTATTAACTTTATTTTTGGAACGAATCAAATGGCTCCAAACAGCTAATCACAAGGCATATAAAAAATAGAATATATTAAAACAATCATTTATAACTCCTTGTTTATCTGAGGAGGATAAGATAAGAACAACCTAAAGATACCAACCAGAACCTGTCAACATCCTCTCGCTCTTTCCAGAACAATCCCTCAATAAGAATGCAGTTATGTTTAACGTAAACATTATTTAATGAATAATTAACACTTTAACCTCCCCATTGTCTTGTTTTCAAATTCTAACAGGCCCTATCAAAAGCCAAAAAAAAAAAAAGGTTACACATTCTTAGCTCAAAAGAGAAATAAAAAGCAAAAGTTATCGTTGTTTGCCATCATTTGCCAGCGAAGCAAATAATACACTCGAGCTTTTTCTCACTTGCACTATAAAATGACCAATCTTGAAGACAGGAGTTATAGATAGGTGTTTTGAGTTGGCACTTAGGTGAAAAGAGAGAATGGAGAGAGAAGAAGATGTGAAGGTTGGAGCAAACAAATATTCAGAGAGGCAAGGGTTGGGCACAGGAACTCAGAGTGACAAGGACTACAAGGAAGCACCCCCAGCACCCTTGTTTGAGCCAGGGGAGTTAAAGTCATGGTCTTTTTACAGAGCTGGGATTGCAGAGTTCGTAGCCACCTTCTTGTTCCTCTATATCACAGTTTTAACTGTGATGGGTGTGAACAGATCACCCTCTAAGTGCTCCTCCGTTGGCATTCAAGGCATTGCTTGGGCTTTTGGTGGCATGATCTTTGCCCTCGTCTACTGCACAGCTGGAATATCAGGTTAACATTTTTATTCTTATTTTTCTTTCATTTGGAATTTGGAGTGTTAAACTAAGCAGAAATGTTACGTTATGCACAGGTGGGCACATAAATCCGGCAGTGACATTTGGATTGTTTTTGGCTAGGAAGCTGTCCCTGACAAGAGCGATATTCTACATTGTGATGCAATGTCTTGGAGCTATATGTGGTGCTGGTGTGGTGAAGGGCTTTGAGGGTAATGGTAGATATGAGATGTACAAAGGTGGAGCTAACTTTGTGAGTCATGGATACACCAAGGGTGATGGACTTGGAGCTGAAATCGTTGGTACTTTTATTCTTGTTTACACTGTCTTCTCCGCTACTGATGCCAAGAGAAAAGCTAGAGACTCTCACGTTCCGGTATATGTTCTATTCTTTCTTCTCACTTATGCTTTTTGTGGAGTATGATATGATGCATTAATGTGGTGTTGGCATGATATAATTGGTAGATTTTGGCCCCTCTTCCCATTGGGTTTGCTGTGTTCTTGGTCCACTTGGCCACCATTCCCATCACAGGAACTGGCATTAACCCAGCTAGGAGTCTTGGTGCTGCTATAATATACAACAGAGACCATGCTTGGGATGACCATGTATGTCCTTTCTCTTTTTCTTCTGCTTAAAATTTAATTTGTAGAATGACTTATTGAATATTTATTGTGGCTTACAGTGGATTTTCTGGGTTGGACCTTTCATTGGAGCTGCTCTTGCTGCTGTATACCATCAAATAGTTATCCGAGCAATTCCTTTCAAGACAAGGGGTTAACGATTACTCACTCCTTCCTTAGTTTTCAATTATCATATTACGGAATCTATTTTTTTAATCCATCGTGTGTGTAAATTATGACCTACGTATTTGCTACTTCTATTGTGTGAACTCAAAATGTGGATGGATTGTGGAGATTCTTCATCCTTTTATGCCTAGTGCTCGTGCCTTGTAGCTTTTATTTCCCAAATTTACATACACCATTACTAATTTATATTCAGTGATCGCACTAACCCGTCGCTAATTTGAAGCTAAAATTACTTAAAATTTATTGTTATATTTCGTCTCAAATAGCTTAGACATTACCATTGTAAATTGTTGCTCTTTTTTACAATATCTAACAACACACTAAAACGCAGCTAATCAATCCCTTGTAAAGAAATTAGCAAATCCATCGTAAAATAATTTGCCAAACTCAATTTCGTCTCTAATCGACAACAAATTTTGACGAATATTTTTTAAATTAAATGTTTTGCCATTAATCCTAATAAAGTTTATAAACACCAACCCCTCACTCAAATCATGTGTGTGTGTGTGATATTTTAACTTTTATGTTTAGTATTATCGTCTTACGTACCACAATTTATGTTAATAGCAGAATATTACAAAAAAAAAAAAAAACTTTTAAGTTGGAGTTCGAATTGTAATTGAGAGATTTTTTGGCTCTAAAAAAATTAATACTAATTAACTCTGAACCAAATTAAATGTTTACTCTAATGTTTTATAAAGGCCACGGGGTACAACCAGTGAGGGGTTCAGCAAAGGCGCGAGTCAAAATGAAAAGGCTGCAACACCCTGCAACTCTGGCAACCCCTGCAAACCATCTGATGGCCATGGCTCATTAATTCTATGCATCTCTCATGGAAGTGGAAATTTATTTTAAGAACGTTAAATAGGCGAAGAGATTTGAAACTTGTGAAAAAAGAAAAAAAAAATTTGATAAAAATAATAAATAAAAAGTATGAACAATAATTGTTATACATATATCTCTCGAAATAGCCATAAAAACAATTAATTATTCCTTCAAACATCGCAGGAGGAAAGTTGTTCCAACATTCGTACAACTTATAATTATATAACAAATGTTAGGAAACTTTTTTATTATAATAATAACATTTTTTTAATGAAATATTTTTTCAAAATATTTAAATTAATTTTAGAAGTTGATGCAAACATCGTCGTCATAATAATAATAATAATGGTTGTTACAGCATTAACAGCGATCGGCGGGGAAGCAAGGTGATTATAACAATCCAAGCAACGGGAGGAAAATATTGCTTAAATTCAACTTGAATTTAGTTCCTACCCATCTGTACAATAGATATTTTTGTTTTTACACTTGGGCCTTTGGCGCCACCACTATTTTCGGGCTAGAATGATCAAATACAAAGCCCAGTGGCAGCACCAAAGTTGTTAATGTACATTTTCCTGACATGCCAAAAAAGTTGTTATTCACAAGACTGAGGCTTGCATATCCTAGGGGATCCACTCTGTAGAAATGAGTATTTTGCACCATCTTTGTGGAGCCAAGGAATACCTACGCTATGGAATTCAAAATTAGTTTGACGCTTGAAAGTCATTCAAGGAGTACATACATGTTACTGCACTCCATGAGCCATTAGCTTCCAAACATTAGGATTAAGATTTAGGAATGAAATTTAGTCTTACATGATCCCTTAACAGCTGTTGTGACACACAATCAGCTACATATGACTTACCATCATAAAACTCGGTCGATAACCCCTGGACAAGCCTCCTATTATGGTTTCCAAGAGCATCATTATTAGATGGAACTATGTCCGGGCAAGCAAAAGTAGTTTGGAGAATCCCCCAAAGTGGGTCATGCTTTGGCTCCTGATAAGCATTGTTTGCATTTGAATAACGACTATTTTGAGGCCTGTGGATCACATTGACTCCTTCATATGAGAATGTCGGCTGCTTTGTTTGATGAAATGGGATTGCACCAGTGCCACCAGTGAGCGGTGTAGATGAACCAGATGCAGTATGAGGACTAGATATAGGAGATGGAGACATCCTTCCACTCATGCTGTGATCTAGATGGAAAAAGTGGGCTCCCAGTAGGAGACACAGGACGAGAGATGTTCCTTGGTGTATGGGCATTGCTGAAAATAAGTGATGGAAAAAAAATTAGCTCATTTGCTGTGACGTCAGAGACAATTCTCATGCCCATGTATGAATAAACAGTATGACCAGTTTTCCTCATGGACATGACATCAGTATCCTAATAGTCACTTTTCCAAGTTAAGAAAATGTTGAAGCTTAGTTATGAAAATACTTATATCAGGCGAGTAGTATTAAAAGCACTGCAGGTTCCTAACCTTATGCTCAAGTTTCCTTTAACAAAAGGGAACTAATGGCAATTTTGTAACATGATTTTAATAACTCGATTGATACAACAATCATCAGGGATGCAAGAGTTAGCACAAGAATGCATATACTGTGTGTACCCTCATATTGGCTTTATTTATGCATGTGATCTTTCTCATGCGTGAGGGTGTGCAATTTACAGTAGAGAGAGAGACAGAGAGAGACCTTGTTCCTGAACCAGCTCTTGAGCTTCTTGACAAATGTATGCTAGCCGCTACTGAATCTAAGCATAAATTATGTTTTGTAGGTCCAATGGCCTAAAAAAATGGTTAAACAGTAATAGTAAAGAATTCAAGAAATCTGTAAAAATTCACACAGAATAAAAAGGCAGGCAAACAAAACAACTATTAGTGTGCTTCCCATGAACACTTCCAGTTGCTTTTACCAGAGATCTCAAAGCATTTACAAAAGCAGGTTTAGCTTCTGAAGGATCAGCAGACAGAAAGGGTCTTTCCGGTGTGGCTTTTCTAACAAATGGATGCAGAAGAAGTTGAGCAGCAGAGGGACGATGTAGTGGATTCCTTTGCAAGCAAAGCTTGACAAAATCTTTTCCTTCTTCTGATAGATGATCTGGGATTGCAGGAAGTTCCTTGCTGTTTCCAATCTTAAACATAGCTGCAACCTAACATGTAGTGCAATTAAAGAAACAAAGATAAGCAATCAACATTCTGTACAAGAATGTGCTCCAACTAAAGAGATTCATATATTTGAATCAGAAAATAGATTTGAAATAAATATGAAATAGTATTCAGTCTTTTTTAGTCAGTCGTCAAAGTTCCCTAACCCCTTCATATTGACTCCAAGGTGGTTTTGTTGTCGCCATCTCCAAAACAGTGCAGCCAAGGCTCCATATATCAACAGCAAGATTACAACCATTAGAATTTTTTATAACCTAGACAATCAAAGCAGTGTCACAAACAAAAATATTACCTGAAAAGCATCAATAACAAAAAGTGCTAGTTAACAAGGAAACCATACTGACCTCAGGTGCCATCCAGTAAGGACTTCCTTTGAAAGATAATGGACAGGACTGCCCGCTTATCTGCAATTGGTTCCAATAGAAAAAGTTAGAAAACAGTATATGTAAGTTAAGTCACATTATCCAATGCCTTAGAGGCACTTCCTTTATCAACACAAAGATAAAAGTTGCATGGCATACACATCAAAATATCTTTTAAAGGCTCTTACATGCTTTGCCATACCAAAATCTGCCAATTTTACCCTCCCATTAGGATCCACCAATATGTTTGCTCCTTTAATGTCTCTGAGCAAAATCCAGCAATTAGACAAGAGGATAATTAGTTTACCAACAAATTCATAGTAAAGATGATAATTGAAACAGGACCTGAAAGAAGATAGTCAAATGATTATAATGCTCAACAAGACTTACCTATGGACAGTGTTCTTAGCATGTAAATATGCAAGACCTAACAAAATTTGCCGAGTATAATTACGAATAGCAATTTCACCAAGCTGGCCATATTGTTGAAGCAACTTATAGATTGACCCACCAGAGACATACTCCAAGTATATGTAAAGTTTGTCATCTACCTGTTTATTATAAAGAATCATAGAGCAGTTAAAACAATCTGATGTATCAACACATTTCTTAAAATTTTAAGAGTGGTGACTTCATTAAAAAATTTAAGTATTTCCCAAAACAGAGTAGCAATTATAGTTGCTGCCTTATTTGTAATGTGTAATTTCCTGAATTACAGTTGTTTGCATAAATTTGGAAACCCTAAAGCAAAAATAGTGTTACTTTGTTATTAGAATGATCCAATAAATATACCGTCTCAGATCCATAATATTGGACTATATTTGGATGCCTTAAGCGACTTAGCAATGCAATTTCCTGCAAGATGCAACAAGTATGAGTGAGTAAACATCTTCAGTCCACCCACACATAGACATAAAGAGAAAGAGTCTTTTACAACCAAATGGATTATCCATTTCTAACATTGTCCTCAATTTTTTTTTAAAAAAAAAAGGGGGAAAAGGTAATGGTGATTGGGAATATTAGGTCAATTCTTCACTTTGTAAATGAGACACGTGTGTAGGAAGTGTTTCACCTAATCTACAAAAACAAGCTTACTTGGCCAAGTTGTTGAGCACTTTCCCTTGATTTAGCATCATCTGAAAAAAGAGTTACCTCCTTCATTGCACACATCTCACCACTTTCACTGTGGATCAGAAGTTAAACTGAACTAGATTCAGATGTAAAAGTAGAAACCATTTAATGCAAGAAAATCATAGCCAACCCACACCTCAAGATATGAATATCAGAACAATTACAAATATCAAATTGGAATCATGGCCAGCATGACATTAATAGATTAAGCAGTGCAGAAGTCAAATAATACAACAAAATAAGCTAAAGTTAGGATTCTAAAATCATGAATACAAAAAATCATAATATCAATATGATCATAGGACCAACTGTAGAATATATATAAATATGTGCTTGGAATAACAGTTGCTAAATACCTGTTAAAACCAAGATATACATGCCCAAATGTCCCCTGTCCAAGCAGTTGTCCCTTTTTCCAGCATGAACCAGGGCTTGGTAGATTTTCTGCTATACCAGGACTACGAGGTGCTGAAGGAGTAGTAGTTGCAGTTGGAGAAAATGGACATGATTTAGTGATTGTTAATGAAGGAAGTGGTAATCGGTGAGTCTGTTGTTTTACATCATCACGACGTCTTGTGGGTGATTCTGTTGCAGCACCTCCAGCTTGTGGATGAAGAGGGGTGACAGCACCACTGTGTATCCTGGAACTGAAACCAGGGCTTGTCATTCCAGGACTGGGTATTGGAGAACACTCAGGGCTGCATCTGCTCTGTGGCCAACATATCTGCACTGACAAATCCCCACCAACTGAATTATGCCCAGAATTATGGCCTGAACCTGGACTAGAGCAGTGCCCAGAAGCTATATCTGGATACAACTTTCCTGTACAGAATCCAGGGTTCAAATCTTGCTCAGAACCAAATGTTCTCTGTGGACTTTTAGAAGGACTTGACATTGAACTATCTGGAGCACTCCATAAACCACCTGAACAAGCCATTTGCAGATTTGGCAGATGCAAAGCCCCTTTGAATGTGTTAGATAGAAGTTGATGATTGCACAATTGAAGAGCCGGTTTTGAGGATACTCTTGAGCTTTTTTGGACAGTAATATCTGATTGATCTTTATGCACCACCCTTTAGGGGAAGAGAAATAAACTTAATAAGAGAAGGAACAGAAATTAGGGGAAAGCATGAAAGGATTGAAACAAAAAAAATGCATGTAAACGGAAGTAAACCCACCTGGTTGTACTGTGAACAATAGCTCTGTTTCCATTTTCACAGTCAGATGCCAGAGGACTAAGGAAATGTGAGTCACATTGGTCATCATCACTATAAATAGAGCTGTCACTAGAAACTGATGCAGTGGCTATATCTTCCTCAGCATCTGTAGGTTCTCCCCTGTTAGAAACATGACCAGGTTTTGGTAGGGGGAAATATAGAGATGGCTTTGAGCCTCTGGTGTTTTCCAGTTTTGATGTTGCATTAATTCCAGAATTTGCTTGATTGATGGAGGGAAGGTGCATCCTGGGGAGTGGGAGTGGCTGAGCTTCAGGCCTTTCTGCAAAACTTTGACAGCGGGAGACATGTGTTGAGGGTGATGGTGATCTTGAAGGAACAAGGGACTTAGATCTCTTCTGTGATATAGTGTCACCACAATGTCTCCTAGACCCTCTTGATTTATTTAATTTCCTTTGTATTGCATCAATAATACTTTCCCTATTTTCTTTCCTCTTTCCCTCTTTGGATGAAGACTTTCCCCACCACAATGGCATCTCTTTGAGAAATCTCACAAAAAACACACAGAAATGACAGGAAATATCTACCAACTTGGGGTGCAAATTCACATTTGGCATTAAATAGCTGCCATATGTGCACCGCGGTTCATCCAATTGTCCACTGAAGAGTAATATTCTGTTCTACATTATAAAACATGAAGAGCAATGTGTAACACCATAAGAACCTGAACAGAAAGTTCCAATGTTAGTTTAATTCATAACCAAAATTAACATTTAATAAACAATTTTGAACGCATACAAGAGACAAGGTTGTGTGAAAATGACTGACATCACATAATTGATCATCAGTGTTCATAGGAACCTTTTTGTCCATTAAAAGTTCAGATTTAGCATTACTGCATGCATAAAGTGTAAGAACAACTTCAACAATCATTTTTAGGATAAGTACAAAATCAAATGAGGCACTGGACGCTTCAGTAGAAATAGGGAACGGATATAAAAAATTCCAATTATAAAGAAAAACTACATTAAAATTTACCATAGTAAGGGAAAATATCCATAATAGAATATTTACACATTCGATGGCAGATTATTATGCGCTTGCAGCAAAACATGATTATTAAGTAGGAAAAGTTCTTCTAAATGGTATCCTGATCAGAATTACCAAGAAAAAAGCACAGAAAGCATTAAAAATTAACTACTAAGAAAATAGCACATCACATGTTCTGGTTTGTGGCAATTATTGGATCTTAACAAAGGCCAATGTATGTTTAAATGCTTTCAGACTCTAAAGATAAGTCCAGGTAAAACCGTTAATGTTTCTCTAATTAAAAATTAGAACACACGTTGCTGAAATCATAACTAAAGACAACGCAGACATGTCATCCATGATAGTTTATTGATTTAGTCTACAATTAATGCTGCAAGTGTCAATTAAAAGCCTGGACACCAGTTCCATCCCTCCAGTGAACACATTAACTCCAACCAAAGCTGAATTTCAGTAAACCTTGTTCATTTTAAATTGAGCATACATACCAAAAGAAAAAGTGAATATGTGGAAAGAAGCATGCTCTATACTCTTGAATTTAAAAAATGACAAGACAATCAAAGGAACAGGTATTGGAAGATATGATTTAGCAAAAAAACAATTAGGCAGGACTTGCATTTAAACACAGTAGAAGCACATGTGAAGTTGGATGGTTCAGAAGGGGCATTACATAACTCTGCATTTGACACACTGTGTGATTTTACTGAGGCACTAATGAAATTCCAAACAGTAAACATAAGGGCAAAATTTCTTCCTGCCTCCTTCTTATGTACCCTAACTGTTAGAAGAGAACTGAAGCAAAATAGTCTCAATTGTTGACAACAAGTTTGTTGATTTGAAAAAAACAAAAATCTCAATTTTCTTCTTATGCGTTCTCTCTGCCCTGGAACTAGGACAACCAGCAGCAGCATTATATATGTACATGAAATTTTAAAGATGGAAATTAAAGAACCCAAAGATAAGGCCCTAAACTTAGGTCTACTTGCTCAAACAGTTCTCTTAGAGTGAAACAATTCGCATAATCAACCAATTTTATGAAGAAATTGCAAGCAACAGTAAATCTCCTTCAAATTCAACTGAATAATAAAGTACAATAGTTGCAATTCCTGTCTGAACTGTCAAGAAGTACACCAAAGAACATACTACAAAGTTTAAATTCTAAAAGAAGCATGCAACCATCACAGTTGGATGATGAACATATAGTGTTCAATTCAGTAGAAGAAGTGTAGAGTGTAGTCATATGGTAACTCACTGATAAAAGTCGACATTCTGGTGAAGAATCGAAGCAGAATGTGTCCCTTTGCCCGCGGGGACACAGTGAGAAGAAGCTGAAAAGACACACGGAGGAAAGGAATGGAAAGACTGGACCGCAACAGATACAAACTCTGAATGTCCTAAAGTGATGTTTTATCCAGTAATAAAGTGGCATAAAAGATCCTAGCCGTCCATTGAAATTTTGCAATACAATTCATGTGGCAAGTACTCTATTTATTTTATAAACTAAGATATTTCATTATCATCTTGCTTTTTTTTTTGTAATTAATCAACGTGTATTAATTTATGTAGTATGTCTTTTATTTTCTCTAAATAACATCTTAAATTCAAGTTTTGTATGTAAAAAAATTGTCAAAAAATTAATTCTACTATGATATAAATATTTTTAATTAAAAAATGTAAAATAAGTATGATTATAACTAGCTAAATAGTTTATAATTTTATTAACTCAATCTTAACAAAATTATAACCTTATCATGCAATTAAAATTTTTATTGTTGGAAGTTATAGTTATTAATTATTAATGTATAATAACCTTTTTTTCTAATATTTGTTATTTAACATGTAATGAAAATTTATATGTAATACATTTTTATTAAAAATATAAAAATTAATATATTCATAATATTAAATATTTTAATTTTTGAATATATTTTTTATTTTTTATTATGCTATCTTAAATATATATACTGATAAAATTGATAACTTTTATGTGCAATTCTTTATTTTTAAAAAATACTACTGCTAAGGTGTGCTTTTTTTAAGGCTATGGGTGTGTCTTTGAATATCTTAAATGTTAATCCATCTACAAAGATAGCAAACTTTCGTCTACAATCTATTTACTCTTATCTATTTCTATAAATTTATATAAGAATTTAATTAAAATATATTAATATAATTTTGTATTATTTAATCAATAATTATTATATTGGTTACAATTATTTTTTAAATGAAAAATTTAAAAATTTTATTTATAATGTATTTGTATTAGTTATCCGTGTAAATTTTACATGTACATCAAAATTTAAATATTTTTAATAAGTAAAATTAAATTAAATTATAAAAATTGATCAATAGTTCAATCAATTGTGAAATAATAAATATCAATTTTAATGTTATAAATAATAATTAATTATTACTGCTTGGCTGTACTCTTAGTATTTCCTTTCTCATTCTTTACATATGAAAAAAAGTAGTTTTATTTAGTTTGGATCAATTGATTAATAAAATTTTAATATTTTAATGTAAAATAAAATAAATAAAACTTTTAAAATTTCAAAATAAAAATTTAAGAGTCACTTAGGCATAAAAATATATATTAATATTTTATAATATTTGTTTGACTAACACAAATATATACACTAATAAACTGGTGCTGTTGTTTTAAACGAAATGATTTTAATTCGTGCTGGAATTTTGATTTTTGCTCTCACTCTCACATGGGTGCACATGCTCCCATCTACTACTCAAAAGAACCTTTCACACTAACACTTTTAAGTCAACAAATGGTCCTTGTGCTTGTCACCTATGCTCATATTTATTTATTTCAGAAGAAACACAATTCTTCAGTGAAAAACAGACCATCTAATCTCTCTCTCTCTCTCTCTCTCTCTCTCTCTCTCTCTCTCTATATATATATATATATATATATATATATATATATACTTATCAGAAAAATCAAAGAGTCTCACTAACATTTTCATCTTTTAATATAAACTTAGTTCTGTAACTCTTGCCATGTATAAATATTTTATTTTAAAACAAATATAAAATATTTAAATATATTATAAATATTGCAGATAAAAAATTGAAAATTTTGTGTAATTATAAAATTATTTAAATATAATATACTGATAAAAATTAGATTAATCAATTATCATGCATATTTCAACAAAAATATAATCTATATGTATCATATCGTGTTAAAAAAAATTTAACTGTAATATATATATATATATATATATATATATATATATATATATATAATTATTTATGAAAATTTTGAAGTTTATACAAAGTAATAAAGATAAATTTCTAAATATAAATATGAGTATTTAAAAAAAATTGAAAGTTTATATAAAGTAATAAAGATATTTTGTATAAATATAAAAATAAGTATTTGTGTAAAATCTAAAAATTTATAGGGAGTAGTAAAGAAAAGTTAAATAACAGCTTAAATTTTTAAAATTTAAAATAAAATTAACAAGAAATTAATAAAATCATTACAATAATAAAAAATAATAATATATGGTGAACGCAAATGAGAATAGCTTCATATAACATTTCATTTCTCAAACAATAGGTTTTGACTTATATTACATAGACTATATTTGTATTATAGAAGTTAATTTGAGTTTTAATATAATTATCTACTTTGTTGTTGTGGTTAAATTTGTTGTCTATTTTTTTATTTTATATAAACTTTTTAACTTTTACTGTAATGGTATGGTAATTTTGTTAGAATGAGTTTTTCACCCAACTCTGTTACAAATGACTATTTGTCTATTTTAAATTTGAGAAACTAGATTTGTCACATAATTGAATACTAAGAGTCATTTTAATTCGACCCAGACTTACATATTTTTTACATAGTTATATGTGTTTCTTTTAAATGAAGATATATGGGTATGGAGAAATACTCATAAATTTCAATAGAGATGGGTGTGAGTATGGGTACTTAAGTAACTATCCCGTCCCATACCTGCATATATTATTATTATTATTATGTTACTTATGTAAGGGAGACCTTAACCCAAAAGTCCATAATGAGAGAAAATTAGGGTTAATATTTTATATATTTGGCTAAGTCCTTTTTATAATCGTTGACAATTATATAATCATATGAGTTGTCCCACAATTTGTCCTATCGAGAGTTATGCTTTAGGAGTGTGACTTATAAACAAAAATCCTATCACTTCTCATAGAATTCAGAGATCTAGTTCAACAAATTTTATACAAACACAAGTTTTCAACAAGTAAGTCTAAAACTCTATTATAATTATTATTAGTATTTCTAATTTTTTTATTGTCCTAATTTCATATAATCTAATTTGAATAATTTTTTACTTACAATAGAGTAACTAAGAATTTAAGAAAATAAGAATTTAACCTACTTTTATTTTTTAGAAAGTTTTTGTGGATGCTTTTTTAAAATTTTGGTCAGGATAAAGATTTCACTATTTATTTTATATAATTTCATGTCTTACATTTTTAACTCAGTTCATAGTTCTTTGATAGGTCATATTCATTTTATTTTATAATACTATGTTTTCAAAAAAATTTCTATGCAAAATAAAAAGTTGAGAAATTTAATATAAATATTTGTGTTACTCAAATAAAAGAATGCATATTTAAAGATATAAAAATATATTTAATTAAATTTGTTTTATAAGATTAACATAAAAGTATATTTACCAATAAGTAAACCATAAAAGTAATTTTTTATATTTTTAATAAAAAAAATTATTTACTATTTTATGTCGTTTAACTAGACTAATAAAATTTAATTATTACATGGTTGATATAAGATTGACTTTGTTAGATTATTTTAATAATGTTATTATAGTAGTCTATATAACTTATAGCATAACTCTTATTAATGATTTAATGTGATAGTGGTTAAATATAAAATATAGAGTCATTGAGGGTATAATTGTAAATACAATTATAAGGAAACCCTCCCCTCTCCCTTCAGATAAAATAAAAGAGCGATTACCAAATAGAGGTCACTGTATTTCTCTATTTTCTATCACTTTCCCGATCTCTAAGTGTGCTCACGGTAAAGGCAAGAAAGAAACTTTCTCTCAACCATTCGAGAAGAGCTAAAAGAGGAAGGAAAAGTTAGAGAAAATAAAAAAAGTTCAACAACTTCAAAGAGAGAGATAACATCAAGTAACAATGGATTCAGGGTAGTGTTCTCTAAACTCTTAATTGTGCGAGAACCATGTATTGTATTGTGAGAACAACATAATTCAAGATCATATGGGAAATGATAATTTCATAATGGATTTATTAAATAGAAATTACATATGGAATAAGAAGATTCTAAAAGTTGGTATCAAAGCAAGATTGTGAATTTCGTTGATTCTCCATAAAAGATTAGTTCTCCATTAAAATTTTTCCCAAATTACATGAACCCTAGGTATTTTAGATGATGAATTGACATAATTTTGATGTTGAATAATTGTTTTGGGTTCAATAATTGAAAAACCTAGGGTTTTGGAAGCTAGAAACATAGGTTTTGAATCTATAATATGAGCAAGGCCATGTATCAGTGAGCAGGGCCATGCATTAAGAACAAACATAGCCATGCTTCAATGAAGCATGACTTTGCATAATGGAAGCAAGGCCATGCATTAGGAAGCATGACTGTGCATCAAGTATAAGCACGACCATGCTTCAGAAAGCAGGGCATGCATCAGAAATGAGCATGGTCATGCTTCATCGAAGCACGACCATGTATCAAGTAAAAGCACGACTATGCATAGTAATTTTATGGTAGAATAAAGAATATAATTCATAAAATTTATAGATCATTTTAGAATTATATCAAAGTGAATTTTACTCACCAAAGTGATTAAATTCTCAAATCAATTAATTCTAAATTGTATAATCATAATGGAAACCTCACAATTTAGTGCTCAATTTTAAGGGTAGCTTATTAGTCACCAAAGTAGACTGACTTTAAAAGTTTGTTTAAGCATTCAATTGTGTATTGTAAATTGTTCAAAATTATTTGATGCTATGTGGTAATATAAAGGGTGAACAATTTAGCTCATTAATTATAACGCTAAAAGATCACCTTAAGGTGGATCACTGCATATGATTAATGACATTAAGGAGACATGAATATACTTCATAATATGTTTGTATATCCAAAGATAACTTGCATATTGGTTTGAGTGACTGATTGTCAATTAAAGTTATTTATTTAGCATTATTATAGATAAATTGTGTATTTAGGCATTACCCAAAAGTAAACTTAGATACATAATTGATGACGGTTGGTTGTCTGAATTCATCAAGTTTATTCAAAGCATAAATATTTAAGCATGTGTTAAATAATTTAGTCCTTATGAGTACGTATGGCATGAGCAATGGTGTA